CCACTTCCAACCCAACTCCATGTTAATACACCCGAGAAAGCAGCAGATGGTCCAAGTACTAGGGCTCCTGCATCCTGTGAGAGATCCAGAAGTTCCTAGGTCCCAACTTCAGACCAGCCGAGCTCCAGCTATTGTAACCATTGGAAGAGTAAACCAGAGGATGAAAAATCTCTCTCTGCATTTCAAACAAAAATAAATACATATTTTTTCAAATTAGTGCTTTTAAAAATTAGGTACTCTTCATTTTCTATCATTGTTATTTGTATTTTCTAATTTTTATCCACTTAAGGTTATTTTTTTCAATAAACGAAGAAAGCATTTATAAATTATGTTTATACACAGAAGTGAATTCAATTGAGGTGGCAATCAGCTGTCAAAGGCTGGAAAAATTTGCAATCAAACAAAAATGAATTCATTTTTTAAAGTATTTGAATAACAAAAAAGAAAGGCTGGGGTTGATGATTATTTTATGCTTCAAAAAAAAACAGAGATTAGTCTTAATGGGGTCAAAGCCAAACCATAATACCAAAACTTAATGTCAAGGTTACAGAGCACAAAGGGTTTTTGTCATTTTTTCCTTTTCTTAAGTCCCCACCCAAATCATCAGCTCAGCACTTGTTTACGCTAGGGTTTTATGTCAAGCTAAATTTTGGTGGAAATTCTCAGATAATGAATACATGATCCTACCCTGGAGGCCTCCACGCTTTTCTGATTCTGCTAGAGGAGCACTGTAGCTGGCAAGCCAGAGTACATGGGGGTCTCTTCGAAGGGGTTTGTAAAAGAACAGCAATGTTCCGTGATTTCTGCACACCTCAAACTCACCATTCTATCCAAAAGGAAAACCCAGGGGATTTTTTTGGTGTTGGCACTTACAACTTCTAAAATTGTTGGGCTGGCTGAATTCTGCTCTGTTTTGCTGTCTTTTTTTCTGAGTTTGTTAAGTATCGGTAGCCAAGAGCACTTCCTTTCTCAAAGCAGCACGCAACACTCTCATAGCCTGACTAAAGATGTTCCCATTTAGTTCAATAGCCATAAGCAAGATTTGTTCAGTCTCTTTTCATGCCCTTTCCTTTTTTTCTTACTGTTTAATACCAAATTTCTGGTAACAAAGGTGAATGGAGAACTTGGTCTCATCAAACCTATCATTTACATTGAGACAGGGAGGCGCAGGAAGCAGTTGAGTCACCAGGGAATTGAGCCACAAGTCTCAGCTCCAAGCCTGCAGCATATGGGTTAGATTTCTCTTATGGCTATGGAGATAAACAAGCCCTTTGCCTGGACCAGGCTCATGTTGGTTGAGCGGCCAACACTGCCCAAGGTGAACCTACAGTCCACCATCTGCCCATCACAACACTTCAACAGGCTACAGAACACATCTGCTGCAGGAAAACCGGCAAGACGGGTCAGGTTTGTGACCTGGAGTCAATGGTGGTTTATGAGACAAGACACAACGATGAGAGTATAAGAAATGTTCTATTTACACAAGAAAAAAAAAAAAGCTCTGCTCACTGTGGCCAGAGGGGCTGGTAGAAAGAGAGAACCTTCCCCTCAGATTTAGCCCACACTCTGGGCTGTGTTGTACTTGTGCTTCCTCAATAAAATGCTTTCTGCTGGCTCCTTGTAAATTCTTTCTTGTACCAAGTCAAGAAAGAATTGAGTGCCTAGGCAGCAGGCACTCACTGTTCATGCACAAAAACACTTATTCTCTCACTCTGCTCATTCAGTTCAAGAGCCAATTTTCCAAATATTTTCAAGTTGCTATAGGACAAGGCAGACCCATCGTACCCACAGTCAACCTGCAGTGCTGGTTGCTTGCCTGCAGGAGGCAGGGCACTAGGGCTCAGGGTCTGGGGAAGGGCTTAAGGCTAAGGAGGAAGGGAGTGGAAAGACCTGCAAAGCAAGTTTTGACCAGAGGACTCTGGAATCAGGCCAGCCTGGCAGGGAAGATTTTTCAATTCTGATTTCCTTGATCAATGGAACTCTGACTCGCACAAAACCACCAGTAAACTGTGGTTACTGCCACTCGCTGCTGTGTTTGTTTCTTCTAGCCAGTTATTCTTCTATTTCTGCGCATGTCCAGGTTTGGTGGCATGTAGCTCATTAAGCCGCTTTCCTTTTGCGTGGGCAAAATCATGTCCTACAAGGCAAGGAGTTACATAATCAGATCCATTGTTAGTGCTTAAGACATGGAACTTTCAGGAAAAGCATGTAGAAATGTTAACATGTTTTGAGTTTAAGGGCATTGAAGAGAAAACCATTAAAAGACCAATCCAACCTAGGAGAGGAGCAGCTCTTTCTCATGATCGGGATAGTTCTTCACCTTCACTTTGCCACCATCATCTCATCAACCGTCCTTGATAACTTCAATAGTCTCCTCAGGTAACTCTTTGCTGCCTGTCTTAAAACACTACAATTTAGTCCCTGAAAACATGAATAATGTGTTTCATTGTTACATGTACATAATATGTAACAGACAACATAGTCTGATCTGTAGTGGTTACTTGAAATAAAATTAAAGTTTGGAAATTGTCCAGTGGATTTTGGTTGGCAGCAGTATGAGCTGTGGAAGGGGGAGACATGCATAATGATGACTGACTACCACAGCGAGTGAAGAACTGAACAATAATGAAAGGGATCTGGGACAAAAGAGCTCTTTTCAGAGTTTTGCTCTCTGGGACAAGAAGGAAGGGGTGGGCACCTCTTCTTAAAGGAGGAAAGACAACGAGGAAGTAAATCATTTTTAAAACTCAAAGGCAAGTCTGGCATTACAGCACAGTGGGGTGAATCATGGCTTCTGATGCAGGTACTCCATGTCAGCACCTGTTCGAGACCCAGCTGCTCCATTTCTGATCTGGCTCCCTGTGAATGTGCCTAGGAAAGCATTAGAGGATGGTCAAAGTGCTTTGACTACTGTCACCCATGTGGGAGTCCTAGAATAGAGTTCCAGGCTCTGGACTTTGTCCTGGACCACCCGTGCCGTTGAGGTCATTTAGGGTGTGAATAAGCAGATGGAGGAACTGTTTTTGTGGGAAGGAAGGAAGGAAGGAAGGAAGGAAGGAAGGAAGGAAGGAAAGAAAGAAAAATGTGTGCTACAGACAGGGAAAAAGAATAGGAAAGAAGGAAGGAGAAAGAAAAGAAAGAAAAGAAAGAAAGAAAGAAAGAAAGAAAGAAAGAAAGAAAGAAAGAAAGAAAGAAAGAAAGAAAGAAAGAAAGAAAGAAAGAAAGAAAGAAGGAGAGAAAAAAAGGGAGGGAAAGAAGGTGAGGAAGAGAAAGAAACCTAAAAGGCAGATAAAAGTTTAAAACCTCCCCACCCCTAGTCAGGAGCTAGCAGCAAGGAAGGTATCTGTAATGGCACTCTACGCAAGGGTGGAACCTGTGGACAAACTAAACAATGCATTTATTATCTGATGAAATTCACATTCCAACATGTCCCAGTTGTCATGCTGGCAAAACAAAACACACAGAAAACCTGACTCAGCTGCTTCCTGTGCCATTTATCTGCAATTTTGGTTTAGCAAAATATGCAAGTTATGGTAAGTGGTTGACATTTGGCAGAGCTGGTGTCTTTATTTAAGCAACACTGATTCTACATTACTGAGATTCAATTGACAATAATATTTTGTTCAGTCAGAATACTGAGTTAATATCAAACCCAGTGCATTCAAATACATAATTTCTGATTTTAGAATCAATCGCACAGGAGAATCTAATTAAGGCTATTCAATTGATTGAAATTATACATATTTATCACATACCATGTGATATTTTTCGACATATGTGCACAATGTAATATCCAACCCAGCTAAACATATCTTTGTCCTTATGGTGAAAACATTCAAAATACTTTCTTTTACTTTGTTTAATAAAGCAAATACATCACGTGTTAACCTTATCTGTAGTCACCCTGTGCAAAAAACAGCAAAATGTCTCACTCCTATCTAGCTGCAACTTGGTATCTGTTAAGCAACCTTTCCCTGATGCTCTGTCCCCTGTAATTTTTTTTTTTTTAAGATTTATCAATTCTGGCCTGATTCAGTAGCCTAGTGGCCAAAGTTCTCACCTTTTACACACCGGATTCCATGTTTGCACCAGTTTGTGTCCCAGACACCCCGCTTCCCACCCAGCTCCCTGCCTGTGGCCTGGGAAAGCAGTCGAGGATGGCCCAAAGCCTTGGGACCCTGCACCCATGTGGGAGACCCCAAAGAGGCCCTGGCTTCAAATTGGTGCAGCTCCCGCCATTGTGGGGACTTGGGGGAGTGAATCAGCAGATGGAAGCTCGTCCTCTCTGTGTATCTGACTTTCCAATAAAAAAATAATAAATAAATAATCTTAAAAAAAAAGATTGATACATTTGTTTGAAGCGCAGAGGGGCTGGCAGTGTGGCATATCTTGTGAAGCTTCTGCATGTGATGCCAACATCCCATACGGGATTCAGTTCAAGCCCCAGCTGTTCCACTTCTGATACAGCTCCCTGCCTTATGGCCTGGGAAAGCAGTAGAGAATGGCTCAAGTGCCTTGGATCCCTACATCCATGTGGGAGACCTGGAAAAAGCTCCTGATTCCTGGTTTAGAACTGGCCCAGCTCTGGCCATTGATATGATTTGGGGAGTGAGCCAGCAGATGAAAGATTCTCTCTCTCTCACTCTCTCTATATCTTTGACTTTCACATAAATGCATTCTTAAAAAGTAGAGCTATAGAGAGAGGCCTTGCCAAAATTCATTTACATCAAACATATAGTGTTTGTGCATTTTATTATTTATAATTAACATCTCCATATATATTAATAAAGAAGTAAAATAAATCTTTAAGGAGTAATTCAGCATTACCTGTTAGAAACAAAACTGGTAGCATCAACACGGTAAACTCATCCACTCAGTTGTTAAATAAAAAGACAAGCCTGTCATCATTTTCTTCCAACCCAAGGATTTAGACATGGTGGAAACACACTAAGAGTAGCCCTGAATCATCAGAAAAGAGCAATTGAAAAATCTAGTCTCAAATGGGGCTGTCTCAAAGGGGCTTTTCCTGCAACCACACATCATTGGAAATCCTTCCCAGAGTAACTCTGTGGTTTTGCTTTACTCACAGGACTGATTTGTAATCTGTGGGAGGGACTGCAAGGCAGTCACTAAAAGCATGAAAAACCTAATAATAATTACTTTTTCACCTCAGGAAAAAATATGTAACCAGTTTGCATGATATCATGTCTGGCTAAAATCTAATGATGGAAGAAAGGTGTCCCATCTCTTACCAATCAAAATAAACCTAAGATTAGTCAACTAATAAGTAGAACGTAATGCAACTTTTCTCCAGCTTTTCACATCTTGAAAAAACAGTCTTTGCAGAAAGATTTCCTAAATCAGAATGAGAATTTGTGAATCCAAAATCTTTAAGTGGTGCTTTATTTTAGCGAAAGATCAAGCCACTTTATGGGAAGAAGTCATTCTTAATTATTTCTATTTCCTTTCTTTTTCATTCATGTTTGTTTTCATAGTAGTAATGGCAGCAGTAAAGACATTTAATAACTCTTTGCAGTTACTCAACTTTTTTGGGAAAAAAAAGATTGTGAGCTTTTATTACAAAAACAAATAAAGCTCTCAAAAATCTCAACTTGACCAGGTATGAAATGATGTTAAGACTTCAATGGTGTTTTGAGGGAAAACAAATTTTTAAAATATTATTGAAAGAAGAGACATTACCAAAATGATATCTTCAGGTAAAAATAATAAAAATTCCATGCTGCATATAAAGTGCAATGTTTCCTGTCATCTTGTCAGTGTGGAAAAAAACATTTATGTTCTTCAGCTCCAGTCTTTCCGTCATGTCCTATTGCCGGGATTTCACGCTCAAGTCTTCTTTCTGGATGACTAAACTGGATGACGGGAGAGATGGTAAGCAACCTGCACAGACCAGCACCAGGAGTGGCAGGCAACACTCTCAACTTGTCAGAGCCATTGATTTCTGCCTCTGCTGTCTTATGATTTCGAGTTATCCGGGCATCTCTGTGCCTAACTGAAGTTGCCACCATACAGATGTTGAGGCGTTAGCTGATCTTGGATCTGATTTCCTGGATTCTTAGTCTTTTCATTGCTGTGCTCTCTAGGCTCTCTCACCAAAGAGGACCCCCGAGGAATCATGGCCAAAGCCTAGATAGGTGTTCTGCCTCATCTGCCTCCTTTGCTCTTCTTCACTTTGGCTGTCAGCACATGCCAACATTTCTCCCTGCACAGGGGGGATGGAATACTGGGCTCCGCACCCATAGGGCCTCCACATGCAGTAAGGTGGGAACTTTTTGCCTGAGGTGGGTACCATTTGGCCTGGTCTCTCTTTTCCCCACTCTATTCGGGAAATTTTGCTAGGAACAGCGTAGACGGCATGTATAACAGTTACAATCTGATGCGTATTTATTGTTTTGTAACAGTCATTGCTTTTCTCCTTCAACAACCTCAGTCTCCACAGTCTCCATCATCCACACAGCAAAGACAGTTTACGGAGTTTTTCTTCCCTGTGCCAATCAGGTGTACAAAGACACCTTCCTTAGCATCATTCTTATTAATGAAACCTTACATATCTCTCACACTGAACTGCTTTACCCTTCCTGGAAACTTCCTTGCAGTAACTTTCTTGTTAAGGCTGCTGGGGCCACCACTCGCTGTGTCACTGTCTGTGATACCAGGCATCCTTTCCATGGTGCTGATGGAAACAAATGGCTGCTGGGTCTTGATGCTGGTTGAGGTGACAGTGACTAGGGTTGGGTTTGATATCATGCAAACTAGCCTGCTCGTGTGGAGCAGGGATCTGCGCACCTGCTCTCTGAAATACACTCACTGCTCTCCTCACCAATCCTACTCTGTTGTCATAATTCTTGAGGACTCAACCTAAAATACTTTTGTTATTATTTAAAATATTGAATAGGTGGTGTATGACCAAATACACAACTAGATAGCAAGAAGAAAATTTTGTACAACCTGGAAGTTAATTCCTCTCCTATATAACATTGCAAGCATAAGGATACAGCCATTCCGAAGGGCCAGGGATCCAGGTTTTCTGTGTTGCTGTTCTCTAGAGTAGTTATGTTAGGATTGTTTACTCTCTCATTGTTTTGCTGCCTTCTTCCAAGCTTCCCATGTCTGTATCCTGGACGGTAGAATTGGCATTCATCAATTCCATAAATGCCGCTGTCAGGAACTGAGTCACATAGGCACATTAGATTTGGTCATGAAATCTACCAGTTCGCAAGAGTAGCATACAGAAATAAAGTCCTTAAGCAGGTAACAGGTCCACCTGCAATTTCTATTGCTAAAGCACGGAAGAACAGAGTAGGGGGAAAGCAGTGCCACAGTTGTCTTCCAGCTCCTAATAATGCAGAAACTCCCTAAGATGGATCCTTTGGAACAATCACCATTTGTATTTATAATAGAAGACAAAGACTTTGAGTTGCAATCCAAATATGGCAAAGTATGCATATTCTTAGTTTCACTGTCAGTCAAAATCAGAAAAGAGAAATTCAAAACTTCGCAAGTACAGATAGGGAGAAGAGATAGCTGCAGCCAAGTGATGTCAACAAAACAGACATGATAACTGATGTTTGCAGCAGGGATAACGGTGGCAACGCCAAGATTGGGCTGCCAAATCCTGAAAAGGGCCGGAAAACAGAGCCACGAGTTGTCTCGGAATGTGTGAAACAGATGAGGCAAAAACAAGAGGACTAGCCGATGACTCACACAATTAATTCAGCCACGGACTCTGCTCACCATTCAGCAGTCATGAAATTGACCTTCACTCCTCTTCAGGAGGACAGGAATCATCACCAGGGAAAGTTAAGCCAGAAAAATCTCCAGACTTGGGAATACCAGGAACATAAAGAGAAGGGTTGGGGAAATTTACTGGCAGCAGAGTTCAGATGCAAGTGTGCAACGTTCTCAACAAATGATGAGATTCACCAACCCACAGCTCCCAGATTACTCTGATCACCAACAGCCTAAGAAAGAAATAGAAGTATTTCTTGATGCATAAAGTGAACTGCCCCCAGAAAAAGAAGGGTAATAGAAATACTACTCAAAAACAGCCCAACCCCTGGCCAGTCACCCTGCTATCAACGGCACCACCTATTAGATATCAGACATAGAGCTTGCCATTGCCAAGGGTCCTCTAGCCTTTAAGAAAAGCCTTAAAAAGAGAGACAAATTCCATGTGCATGCACCTGCATACACAGTAATGCAAGCAATACCTGAGTCTATTTTTGTTTTTAATTTATACCCTCTATCCTTTGAGGGATAAGAGAAGATAAGAAAAAAGGAAAAAGCTATTAAAATAGAGGCTGCAAGTATTACACAAAAAATTAATTTAAACTTTAATAGAATGGTTGGAAGATAATATTAGAAAAATCTTCTATAAGGAAGAAATAGACCAAGTTTTGACAATTAAGATTGGGGGAAATGGGCCTGGTGTGGTAGCCTAGCGGCTAAAGTCCTCGCCTTGCGCTTGCCCGGGATCTCTTATCAGTGCCGGTTCTAATCTTAGCAGCCCTGCTTCCCAGCTAGCTTCCTGCTTGTGGCCTGGGAAAGCAGTTGAGGATGGCCCAATACCTTGGGATCCTGCACCCATATGGGAGACCCAGAAGAAGCTCCTGGCTCCTGGTTTCAGATCGGCTCAGCTCCAGCCATTGCGACCACTTGGAGAGTGAATCAGCAAATGGAAGATCTTTTTCTCTGTCTCTCCTCCACTCTGTATGTCTGACTTTTCAATAAAAATAAAATAAAAAAAAAAAAAGATTGTGGGGAAAAAAAAGTAGTTTGAAGATTGGTCCAAATAGTCTCAGCTAATGTCTAAATAAGATAAGCTTCATGGAAAACAACAGAAAAAAATTGTAAATTATCAATGTAGCAAAACGAAGAAAATGAATTTCCAGGTTCAAAGGAGCTACCCATAATAAATAAAAGGAACTAGGACAAAATTTGTCACTGAAAATTTCAGAACAAGAATAAAGAAAAAACTGCATCTTCCCAAAGGGAGAGAAAATAGATTACAATAAAATATTAGCGATCATAATGACAACAGTCTTCATATTGAAATGGAGACAGTGCCCTCATAATTTTGAGGAATGATATTTAAACATATAGAATTGTAGGTCCGCAAAAAATTATAAATCGAGTTAGTTAGTTACTTAGTTAGTTACTTAGCTAGTTAGTTAAAAGACAGAATTACAGGAAGGGAGGGAGAGCTTCCATCTGTGATTTACTCTCCAAGTGGCATAATGACTGGGACTGGTCCAGGCTGAAGCCAGGAGCCCAGAGCTCAATCATAGGTAGCAAGAGCTGGTGCACTTAGGCCACCCTATGCTGTTTTCCCAGGAATATTAGCTGGTAGCCTAATGGGAAGTAGAACAGCCAGGAGTTAAAAGAGCAGCATGATGGGATGCTGGGATAGGAGGCAGCAACCCATGCCGTTACATCACACCACCGGCCCTGGATAAAGCCACTTCCAAACAAACAGTTCCAAAAATAAATCTCCCATGTCTTCTTTTTCGGGAGGATACTAGTAAAGGCATTCCACTAAAATAAGGATATAAATCCAGAAAGGAAAACACATGAGCTACACGAACAGGCTTCCAAAAAAAATAAACTAGAGTGAGCTCCCTCAGGGCCTTGAGAGCAAGCACCCAAATTCCAATTCTCTTAAAAAGAGATGCTTAGGGGCAGGTATTTGGTGCAAAATTTAAACTGCTGCTTGGTAAGCATGCAAGCCATACCTGGTGCTTAAGTTTGAGAGCCATCTCTGCTTCGAAGTTCAGTTTCCTGCTAATGCACAACCTGGGAGGCAGTAGAAGATGGTGTATATACTTGGATCTCTGCCATTCACAGGGAGACCTGGGCTGAGTTCCAGGCTTCTGGTTGTGGACTGACCCAGCCACAGTTACTGTGGGCATTTGAAGAGAGAATCAATAGATGAGGGAAAAAAAATCTCTGTCTCTTTGACCTGGAAGAAGAAAGAAAGAAAGAAAGAAAGAAAGAAAGAAAGAAAGAAAGAAAGAAAGAAAGAAAGAAAGAAAGAAAGAAGAAAGAAAGAAAGAAAGAAAGAAGAAAGAAAGAAAGAAAGAAAGAAGAAAGAAAGAAAGAAAGAAAGAA